ATAATTTAACATGGTATTAGAGTTAGGCAGAGATTCTGGGTTCCTGTCTCAATACTACCCATTAACAACAATTTGTACAAATACTTGGCCTTTGAAAAAGGAATCTACAGTTTAAGCTTTTAGATAAGATATTTTACACAATTTAATAGGAATCAGTCGTATTGTAATCTTTTTTCCTTCGTATGTACCATTATCAGAAAATTGTACTATTCTTAAGGTTGTATCAATCCTGGTAACTTTACTAAGGTTGTATAAATCATGGTCTCTCGAGAAACATAAAGCATAATTCTGGACTCTGAAGGTACAACGTAAATTACTTTTTATCTTGTGGTTAATTTATTACCACATGTTCCATATAAAGGTTGATGCTCAGAAAAATACAGTCTTGGACAGCCTAAACACCATGACACTGTATATATCTCTATATAATGTTTTACTCATAAAATTTCATGCTACAGCACACAGAAGATTAAAAATCCTAATGAGGTCATCCGTAATATGTGTTCTATTCTGCTTCTATGTTTGGCTTATGAAATTTCAGTATAATTCCTTTCAGTTTCTGGAATCACACCAACTTTCATTTTGCCAGAGCACCGCATTTTCTCCTGTTAAAGAGTAACTTATAGGACAATTTACAAGCAAAATTTAACTAATAATTACCCCATCTACTACACCAGTAATAACACAAAGTCACAAACCATAGTTCAGTTGGCTTAATGAACCCTCTACATCCATTTCCTCAATAAAATTCCCAACTAGACATCAAAATTTAGGTGAAAAATTTAGTCGGTGGACACAGTACTTCAAAAGTAGCATATCGTGACTCATATCACATAATCCCAGTTTATAGAGTACATCAACACAAACCAACAAAATGTAACCAGTATTTGGCAAATCCAGTATAGCATTAAACCTCCATACAAAAACAACTACGCCTTAGTCCCAAACAAATTGGTGTACCTCTAGATTAACCAAAAAACTTATTTTTTTCACTGCAATAATTTCAACTAATAGTAGCTGAATAACTTTCCAAAACAGTATCTCGAATAATTTTTTAAAAAAAAACAAAAAAAAACAGATCATGACTACACGCTAATTTTCAAGCTAACAGTTGAAAACAAAATTAATAAAAAAACTTACCTTATTGAACCAAGGATCATGAAGAATATCAGCACCGCGCTTGTGTACGATACATGGAGCTGAAATCGCCGTCGATAACCGCCGCGTACGGCGGAAAGTCGACGCCGCAGATCGAGCCACTCTCCACATTGCACGCTCCTTATACAAATAAATAAAAAAAAAACGAGTAAAAATTGAATCAGAAAAACTTAGAATTGAGTTGAAGATGAAGAACACTACAACTCCATGAATATGTGAAAGAGTCAAGTACCCAGATATTTATACTCTCCTTCAATGCTGCTGCTTATATTCCTTCTACTTTTTTTTTTTTTGACACTTTCTTTTTAAAGGGTTAATTTTCACACCCTTTATATTAATCTTTATAACATTCTTTTAAGGTTAAGATCGTCTTATTAGTTGTTGGCATATTTGTCAATGTTCAATAAATATTAATAGAATTTTTTTAATTATTTTGAGCTATTTTTAAATTTATCGGTCATTTCTAAAATTAAAGCTGATTTAAAAGTAGATTTAATCAATACTTATGCTAATTCAAACACCTCTCTAATTTTTTGAAATTAATTTATGATTTCTATCGTAATTATCAATGTAATACATAAACTAAATTAACATATTAAACTTGGTCCAATTAAACACAATTTTATTTTTTTATTATGCGAAATAAAGAATGATTTATTCACTTTTTTTTCTTTTCCTTTTATTAAATGTTAGCAATGCCTATAATATATAAGTTATAATATGTGAATTTCTCATTGTCAATCATAAGTTTAAAGCACATTAAATTTGTTGGTATTATTAATTCAAATATTTGCAAATTTAGAAATATTTTTATTTTTGGAGGCTGTTGACGGGCAGAGGGTAAAGAGGGGGCTGCCCGCCCGTCATTGGAGAGTTTTTAGTGAACGGTCAGTATACTGCCACACGGGCAGTAAGAGGGTAAAATGGGAAATTTGAGTAAGCCAATAATAGATTATTGCTTCTCATTGGGCAGTAAGCCAAATCTGAGTAAACATTGCCGTACAACATTTAATTTTGGTAATTTATTGTTTGGATTTTTTTTTGTCTTTCCTATTTTCTTCAAAGTACTTTGGGTTAGTTCTATTTATTAAATTTAATTGCTCATGAAAAATAATAGAATTTTTTTACTTATATTTTGTGTTTGAGTATGTAAACGAGAAATATTGAATAAATGTATTATTTAATATAATTTTAACTAATATTTATGTTTTTTAACTTTAAATGTGCATAAATAAATATTTTAACTTGTATAAAATTAAACGAATAGACACATCCTATATAACATACACAAAATTTAATGGTCTATGTGGAATCTTACATTTATTATCTCACGTAGCATGTATATTTTCACTTGTTCAAATCTATGTTGTCTACACCTAAGTTGAAGGCGTAGATGTCATTTTAAGTACAATTAAAAAATACATACATTTTTACATATTACACTAAAAATATTTTTATGTAATCTAAACAATTATTACGTGAAGTGAGATTGAGGGTGGGGGTCGATAGAGGGATACCCGGGTGGAACAATAAATGTGAAATGTTATTTGTGGAAGTTTTTCCTACTTTTACTAGGGAAATATTTTGCTCGTTTCAAAGAAAGTTTGTTCTACAAAAAAAATATGTCCAAATTTGTCTAATCAAACATGAAAAAGATTGAAATAATTTTCTTTCTTACTCCACACACATAATATATATGATGTAAATCATAAACGATGGTTAAAAGCAAATGCGTACTGAAGTTAATGGTTTCAAATGAACCCATCAATTTAGATATATTGATATACATTGTATATATATCACCAACATATCAAAATTATTATATTATGAATTCACAATCTCAAAAGTATAATAACGTTAATCATAAAATATCTCAAAAAATAAATTTATTGATAGAGTTTAAATTCAAAAGTTGGTTATGATAGTATTGAAAATATTGCTTCATTCACTTTCTAAATATTTAGTCCAATGCCTACGTAGGTCTAATATGTGCCCATGTTCTTTATGAAGATTCTCCTTTGGAAGTGTGAGGCTAAATTGTACTTTATTTATTTACTCGAATAATTTGGAAATTTAAGGATATTTTGATTCTGCTGAGAGGCTAAATTTGCAATACTTATTACTTGGTGAAGGTACTACCTTCTATATTAATCAGACTCCGATAGTGGTAAAGTGATAAATATTCATTCATTCTTAATTTAAAGTTTTGAATTCGAGTCATCTAGGGTACATAATTGCCTTTAGTCATAATATGAAATTTTTGAATACAAATTCAAATTTAATTTAATTTCAATATAGATACATGCTTTGTATGTTCCAAATATTTCTATTTAATTTCTTTTGCCACCGAGAATTTATTCTCCAAATATGCTTTGCATAACTCATAAGTAAACTTAACAATAACTAAAAAAAATGCTATTTTCTTACACTTCATTCTTTATTGAGTTCTCCTATGACCAGCAAACGGATATAATTAAAAATCTCTTCTAAAAATTACTCACTTATAATATTTTTAGAAATTTAATTTTATACTAATGAAATCGTTCTAAATATTTACGATTATTACTGATGAACAACATAAACCAGATAATATATGCAACGCTGGAAGGTAGCATATATCCCTTATATTAAATCAGTCAAGTTGCGCGTAAATTGTTCTAGATATTATTGTTGTTACTAAATTACTTCATCATTAAATTGAATTCAATTTGATATTAATTATCTGGTATAGTTTTAATCTCTTCAAAATTACAGTGACATATGTACTAGTCGAAGTGGAGCTAGCATTTACTTATCATGTTAAATAAAGTTTTCTATATATTATATGGAATAATTTTATTTTCGTACGTAGTGTATTATTTACAGAACAAGAATAAATTAAAGCAGCACACAATTATTATGAATGGTGGACATGCAAATGCAACCAAATAAGTGAAATTTTGGAATAGAAATTGATTTTTATTTCTGTTTTGACAAGTCATCAACACAAATTGGATTTTTGGAATTGATTCTAAAAGGAAAATGACCATTAATTTCAGTGTTCTCCGCGTAAAATGTTGATTCTTTCGCGTTTTGATGTCTACTTTTTCAGCTGCAATTTGAAATACGAGTTTTCAAATAACTGGTAAAGTTATTATTATGTGATAAAAAAATCATAAAAATTCAAACCGTGAAAACAGTTTTTTTACCTCGACGAGATAGGGATAAGGTCTATATATACTCTAGCTTAAGCAAACCTAGTTTGTCGAATTTCACTCAGTATGTTATTATCGTAATACAAGACACATGATAAGAATAAAACCCATGATTTTTTTCGAAAATGATTAGAACCAATGACGGCGAGTATACTGTGAGTTTGTGACAATATCCTCCAATGCATACATGTGCGTCGGTTGTTTTAACTTTCTACGAAAATTAAGATTCTACTGACATTAAAATCACTAAATATAGATTTTGTAATCTTTGACATTTTATGATACATTTGTGTCTGAAGCTAAACTTTATTTTATTTTTTGATAAAGAAGATGTCTGAGCCAGTTTGTAACTCGGCCACTTAAATTTGAATGCAAACATCATGATTCTAAACCATTAGGTCATGCCCTTGAGTGCGAAGGTCCAAATTCTTTTGATAAATTCTGAAGTCAAATTATATTTTTGAAAAAATGAACATAATTTGACAAAACGAATACATATGAAGATGAGCATTCTGGAAAAGAGCAAGACAAAAACTACTATGATGCAGAAGCAAATTCAGCTTCAAGTGTTAACTTAACACCATTCCTAAATGAAGTTGGTGACATATTGAGTGTCTGAATTAATCTGTTGGTATCCATGGATATATCTGCTGGAGACTTAACGCCGCGGTTAACCTATAATGTTCAGATAATAACACACATAGGTTAGGTATGTGGTTTTAAGGAAAAAAACAGTAGTGATGATACTTTCTTGGACTTTGTTGTGCTTGTAGTGTAACACAACAGAAGCTAGAAGGTAAATGAAAAAAGTAAAGAGACTTTTTTTGAAAATTTGTTTGTGCGCGTGCATGCAAATGTCAATGTAATGTTAAACCAATGTTACTTACAGTTGATGAGGATACTGATTTGATCAATGACAAATTATAACCTCGAATATGTGCAACAGCTTCAGCCATCTGAACCCTGGAAACTCGATCAGGTCCACCCACGTTCAGAAGTAACTGCATTGGCTCCTTCTCTAGAAACAACACATATCATGTGATAAAACGGAAAAGTCAAGGAGAGATAGAAAATCAGGTAAATTGTATCAGAAACTTTACTAGAGGCTTTAAAGGGAAAAAGTCTGACATAACTTCAACTATAAACCGGTCATGAGCATTGATAGAGTCACATTGTAGAACTTATCTCGAGTCATAGTGAACCACCACATTGAACATTGAGCTGAATTATTTGTTTTTTGGATTATATTCCAGTTAACTCAATCATAATACTTCAAAAGAATCAAATCCTCACGCAGCAAGAAATGTTGTATTAAATATGTGGAAAACTACCACAAAGAAAGAACCAATCCTAGAAGATCATAGTGAAATTTCAGACGGTTGTTAAGTATCCCGTATTTGATAATGCAGACAGAGGGTGATCAAGGCAAATCAGTCTAGAGGGTCAAAGCATGTCAAACCTGAGATCCATTTATTTGTCAGGGTCCATATGATGGTCACAAGATCCTTCACATAGACAGGACAACGGAATTCATCGTGAAAAAAATCCATGGCTTCTCCCTTTGCAAGAACACTATCCATCCACTGCATGATTTTCATGTGAAACATCAGCTCAAAGCCCAGTAGTCGAGTGATTTAATGTGTCATATATCATAATAGAATTGCTTGGGATTTAGATACAATTTTTTCTGTTGTTGTATCATAACAGAATCATGAGTAACATTCAATCTTATGCTCAATTGGATGTAACAACAGTACTATATTATAAAGCTCAATAGAGCCACTCACCCCCATGGTATGACCATTGAGTCCAAAAAAAGGGGATAAATAGATGGAATTCAATAGTAATCGCATATAGAATGCTAAATATAATTTGCAAGCATGAATACATCTCAATATCAACTTTGTTTTTTTTTTAAAAAAAAATAAAGTCAACATCAAGTTTAAATCTAGATACAGGCCAAACAGCAGGAAAGCGTGACATAATATGAAGTGATTAGGTTAAGCTTCAAAAAAAAAGATATATCGTGTTTAAATTGCAAATCACACAAAAGAAAAGGCACGGAGGCTACTATTGCCCCCACTCATTCTACTGAACAATAACAGCCCTTTAATGAAGTCGGACAAGTGCAAGTACAAGGTGAAGTTCATTGTATTCACCTGAACTGGAAGTGATTTTGGGACAGGGGAGACAGTCTGAGGTCCATAAATAATACTGCTCCTCAAAATTGCAAAATTTGAGTAATTTGCAGATATAAATTGCTCTGCTGCTACCTTTGATCTTCCATAAACATTCACAGGAAGGGTCTCATCATCTTCCTTGTAGAAGGATTTGGTCCCTTCGTAAACTGAGATAAAAGTTTAATTAGCATCACATAGTCTCAAGAAAATTGTTTGCATCAGTCAAAATATACGACTCATGAGAACAATCAATAATTAAATGGTTGTCCATACAGCCACATGAGAACATTCAACAATTTGATAAAATTACATCACAGGTGAGAGAGCTTGCTTGATCTATAAATGCTAAGGTTGTAAACAGCTTTTTCAAATCTTTCATGGAGAGGAATACTGCCAATAAATATTATGAAGCATTCACCAACAAATATATCAGGGGAATTGCTGAACATAAGCTAACATCCTATTTCTCAAAATTTTATGCACCAGATATCAAGTCAGCATCTTCGTTATCCAAGTGGCTATAAATTTTAAGCATCTTACCTTTACCTACCTGAAGGAGTTATAAAATACCATAAACCTACTGATATTTTCCTTAACATTAAAAAGTTTACCCATGTGTTAGAAGGATCAGTTCATCCTTGTGCCAGAATTAGTTTGTTAGGCAAGAGTTGCAGAGGTAACACAAGGAGTTAATAAGTATATAGAGTTTAGCTCCTATGATATTAATAGCCAGTGGTGTTGTTAAATACTCAATTGAGGTACGCTTACACCAAGAATCTAGGTGCAGGGCAGGTTAGGCGCAACATCTCGCTTAGGAGACACTTACGGGCAGGCACAAAAGCTCTAAGACATGCACCTCATTGCCCATTGGCTATATTATCTTGAAGAGTGTGTAACTAAATAACAAATAAAACTGGCAAAGTGCTATATCAATTGTTAAGAAATGCCAAAAATTGCATCTTTGCGTCTAACTCAAAAGTTAAATGAGTGGATAAACTTTAAAATCTGATGAAATAGGTGATCCTTTTTTTAACAAAAGAAAAAGGAGATCAGTGGGGAGACGGATTCGAAGGCTCTAAAGCAACATTGAAGCTGAGTTGTAAGATGAGGGAAGAATTGGCTGCCAGGTAACCAAGCAGAAGTGGAGTGTGGCAATAGCTGAGGACTTGTGTAATCAGCTATGCAACTTTTCACTCTCAGAAGTCCTACAGAGGAATGAAGTACGTCCATTTTACTATTTTCATCATCTACTTTTTTCCAACGGTACCAAATAAATGAAACAATGACCAAACCCTACCAATGAAAGTAAGTCGACTTTTATCATTCTCCTCCACATTAGAAACCAACACAGTTAGCCTAAGAAGCATAACCAGCTCAATACAGAAGCAAGAAACTCTCTAACTTTTGTGAAAAATTAGCTGTTGTCACTACAATGATTTCCTCGTGTGTTACCTTGATCAGTAGACAAGTGAATCAGAAGAGTACCGCCATTGCTAAAACTTGACAACCACTTAACAAGAGCAGAAGGCACATTAATAGCCATGGCAGCAGTAGGATCCACTTCACAGGCACGTGGAACAGAAAGTGCAGCACAATTAACCACAACATCAGGCTGCTCATTCACATTACAAAACTTGGTATTAGCTATTATGGTCATTTTAACTGGTTCAGTAATAAATTTGACCTACTATACAATCCACCAGCCACTTCAGGTATTTATCCGAGATTACAACAAACAGACAGCAAAGACCACCTAAATAAATTCACAGCCTTGAGTGATATCAGTCGACACATAAGTTCTCTTATTAAATACCAAAACTTTCTTCAAATCTTATATACATATATATGAAGATGCAAATCTCAATCACCAAAATACAAGTGAGAAAAAGAAAAACGTAATCGTTAGTAAGTGTGTACAGTAAAATGCAAACCATGAAATTCAAAATGTAAACTTCATGAGTTCGAGTTCGAAATCAAAATTCTACCATTACCCATTGGATTTATGTGTTCAAAATCTATTACTAGTTGAACCTTTGAACCATAAGTTTTACACTTCCACCCCAAAAAACTAGACAAACAATTCGTAAGATGCTATCAATCACCAAAACTGAAAATGCAAGCAAAATAATTGCAATTCTTGAAACCCTAAAAGAGAAAGATGGAATCTCTAGTAACTTTGTAGTGTAAAATTCATACCTGCCCAAAATTTTGTGAGATGTCATCAAAGCCATTGCCGGTTCGTAAATCTACATGAAAGGGTAGGGCATGAGGAATGGCTTCCAGTAGGCGCTCAGGTGGGGGATTGGTGTGGTAGGTAAAGGCTAACGAGAGAGCATATGGAAGAGTATTTTGGGTTGCCGTGAATTCCTGCAGAAGATGCTGACCCAAGTAACCTGTGCCACCAACTATCAATATCTTCTTGCTACTCATTTTCAATTTCTGTGAGATCTCTTAGCTTCTCCACTGATTTCTACAATCGTAATTCGTATCTTGGAAAAGCAATGCAGTTTTTATGGGGCCAAGGAGTTTGCTGTGCCTACTGATGAGAGTCACAGTTCGTTGGACTGCAGCGTGCCACTGGACAGGGTGAGATCTTGAAAATAAAATTTAGATATTCTAAGTAACTAAAATTTATGCAAGTTTATTATTCAAATTATTGATTCGCAACGGTGAAATATCATACAATACATATTTATCTAAAGTCAAAACTATGTAATAACCATCCAAATAAGGCGTAGATGTTTTGTGTATTACAAAACAATTTAAAACTACATACGAATTGTGTAGTTTCTACAGAAGTTGAGGAATAAGCTTTATTAAATTAATAATTAATAAAATATACCATCTTCAATATCCCACATAACATTTGTAAGAGTTGGTAAATACTCACAATTTCTAAAAGGATATATAGCTAACAACAAAGTATGAATTTTTATAGTACTATTTCATTATAACAAACAACAAGCCTCTTCTGGCCTCCAATTATAACATAAAACTTTGATGTAGGCTCATGTTTCGAATGCCCCACTATATATATGCATCGACCAAAACTGCTGGGAAGCTTCACACACAATGGAGTAAACCGGTTATGTACATTACAAATGATGACATCTTATGGCTCAAAGGCAATAGTTGCATCCTGGAGTTGCATGCCATATTTTCTTTTCAAAATACATAGACTCTTGAGAAGAAAAGCCACTGAGGCACAAACCAGCCACCCATAGCTGTTATCTGGGTTGCTTTAAAGATTCTAGGTAAGCAACTTTTTCTGGTTCATATAAGCGCTGTGATGTAGTTGAGACCAAGACATATATCAAACTCCGTTAGCTGCTTCCTGGAGTGGCTGGGGACTTCTCAATAAGCAACTCGATTTTCTGATCATGTAAGAGAAGATTTGTTATGTGTGAGAGTTTAAAAAACATGGCACAAAGAATATGTTTAGAATGAAATGGAAATCTAACTCATTGCTTTTATGTTCACAGTTTCTAATAAGATCATAACCAGTTCATTTGCCTAGCAGAACATCTTAAAAACTTAAACAGTATTCAAGGAGATAAATGCCAAGTATTTAGAAAGCAACAATCAGCAATAGACAGTGTATTCACCTTCACTGATTTATTAACTTCGTCAAGCTTGTGAAGCCGAAAATCAGAAGGTACAAGACCCCTGTGCTCCAGTGAAGAATGGTGTCAGGGGCCTGTCAGCTGCATAAAAGATAGATGCAAGTTCAAATATTAAAATAAAATGAGGCAGAATGAAGCATTTTGATAGGATTTGATTTACATCGTCCATCCATAATAATGATGGATCATTGATGCTGTGTAACACTGAATCTCTGCATATAATCAGTTCAGATGAAATGAAATAGGCAAAAAGGACATCATTTGAAAGAACAAGATATGGTGACCCTGCTTCATTATGCTTCTCGATTATGTCTTCCACACAACATTGCCCGAAACAAAGAATCAAATTTTCCCTTCTGCAGTACATTATAGTGATCGGGATCTTTAGTACAACTTAGTATTTTATTATCATGCACTCGAAGGAAAAAAATAGTCTAGAGATTTTTGGAAAAGAAGTTGAGTGCATAGCAGTAACTTTTCCCTTTTTCTTTTAATGAATTAAGCCCATAACAATATATTAAACAAAGTGGCCTCCTGAAAACAACCCGTACTAAACGACATCTCAAAAAGACCCCATGGGAAATATTTATTGGTGACAAAAAGAAATATAGAGATACTACTTCTAAGGATTTGATTATGCTAAAATGTTGGTAATCGTTCTTACCCTTGAAGTTTTAGATGATGATTTCGAAACAGCTGGAGCACCATCACCACCTTGAACCACAGGTCTCCAACTCCTTCCAACATGTATGACCTTTGATGCTTCATTTACGATGACCTGAAAATAATGTAATGACACTTAGGACTTCAGAATCATCAATGTTCTCGTCTGCCAAGGAGCCCACAAAAAGTAAATCAGAGAGCAGCGAAACTAATAAACTGAGTGACAAACCCCAAATGCAAAAAGGAGAAAAAGAACAAAGGGGGAGTTTCACAGCACATAACAGATATTTTACCTTCCTTAGGAGTCCAGGGTTATGCATACCTTGCACCTGTAATTCATCAACTGGTGCAGCTCTTCCACGTGCTATACTTTCAACTCTGAAGGTGTGCAGTCCAAGCATTGACTGCAAGCAACCTATAAAATTAAATTGGTAAAGTTTTAACAGCAATAGGGCACAAGAGATCATCATGAGGTACTACAAAGAATAAAAAAAAAGTTATCAAGTAAAACAATTGAAAGAACAAAAGAAAAATTATTTAAATGAATGGATTTCAAGAAGATAATGAATTGGAAAAAGAACACAAAAACAGGTGGAAGTAATAGTGACTGTTATAAACTGGAAGAGAATTGCCAATCTAGTGTCTATTAGTTGCATTACGGTATGCTTAATACCCATCTGCTTATGTCTAAACTTGCTTTCCATTTCTTCCTACCCAAAATTCTAAGGAACTGTTTACTATTGCAGTAAAGAGAATCAACTACTTTATACACCACAAGGCTATCAAGTAATTCTCTTTTTTCTTTAAAGATTATTTTTTCCTGATTGGATACTATACCATCTCTACAGCTCTTTACATCAGAGAAAGACATACATAAGCTCAACTCTTGTGAAACTCGAAATGACAAGTTTAAATTGTTTCTCAAAGATGTGGCAACAAGGATCTGCTTATCCAAACCTGACAGTTGAACAGGGATACATATTTTTCATGAATTACTAGTAGATGTTCATGATAATGTAAGATTTGCCAGAAAGAACAGGTTGAGAAGTTGCTGCTCCATATCACTTCTATAAGTTTTTGAGGAAAAGGAAAGAGATGAAATTATGTGATTTTGGCTGCCTATAGATAGATAATAGTAGCAACTAGAAGGGTAAAAAGCGTTCAATGAAACTGGAGAATAGTATTATTTAGAATTTAGCCCAAAACTCTGGATGGAAAACTCCACCTTTAATTAGGAACACAAATCATTTGAAAGTTATGCTTTCTATTTCAGAATTGAGGTGTAGTTAATTGATTCATGTCCAGCATACGTCCCTACATTACAGCCTCTTTAGCAATGGATGGCCGATCAATGCAAAAATTTGAAATGAGGTTGTACCCAAAAAAACCAAAAAGAAGTTAAGATACTGGATATGAGAAGTTGCAATTGATACCTTGCTCAATAATGATATCTATCACAAAAGGAAGAGGAACATGCTTTTCAAATTTAATGTCTTTCCAAAATGGTATGCATGAAGGTCTTGACACCTACAATTGACACAAAAAGCAGCTGTATCAGCTCTATTCTCTCTTAAGGAAACAGCATGACTTGATCAAGCTATCCATACCTTGTAAACTATTTCATCTGGAGTAATGTAAAGTTTGCGTGATGAAATTTCCTTTTTAAGCACATATCTTCGCATCGGCATATATAAGTATTCCAATTCCCCAAGCTAAAACCAGAAGCAATGATATAGAGAGTCATATTATAGTGTCATACTGAACACTTTTCTCTCCAAGTTCATCAAAAGAAGCCATATATAGTATCTTCTCAGGAGTATCAACTTCTTCATCTCCATCTGAATCTAATTCAGGGTCAGAAAGCAACAACTTTGTCGACGAACCAAGTTTTGGAACCCCTTCTGCATGTCCCATCAACATTTTCCAGTTCAAGCCTGAATATTGTTCAAAAACATAAACACAAACATGCCAGCAAATACAACACAAGTCAAAGTTGAGCTTCCATTACAATGATTAATCCACGACACTCAGTCACCAAACTTGACGCCACGTCAAAGAACTTAGGGTCATGTGAAATGCATGTCTTATGAGAAAAGATTACGTTAAGATGGATAATCAGTTTCATTTCATTTCTCTTATTGTTCTAGTAAAGCCGAATGACTAAAACTACTAAAAGACAATCAAAGACCTTCATTCTTAGCTGCATTTCCATTTCCTAGTCTTGTTCTCGCTTGTTCCCCAATGAACCAACAAAATTTTATTGCTGTCTAGTGTACAGCAGGAGGATGTTCAAAAAAACAAAAACAAATTCTGCAACTAGTAGAAAATGTTCACACAAAGAAACTATTTTTTTTTTCCTTTTCTTTATTATGATAGATACAACCAATTTTCACACAATTAGGGTCGGGGAAAGGTAACATATACACAGACAAGAAATGAATCATAATACTTTATAGTACCTGAGTAATACACAAGAATTTGAAAGTTTCTTCCTTTATCGCAGCTTCAGATTACAGAATTAGTACAAATGTAAGTAATTTTGCTAAGAGTATGTGATTTAATGTATATTTTTTTGATCCAATTTGTTAGGGTTTGATTTTAGGAATGCTGGCTGCAACTGTTCATAAAATTCGCAGTGTGCCCAAAAATTGCTGCACCTGACTGACACTGACCGAACATTCAAATCACCCGCAACCAAAAAAAAAAAAAGTTATTCGGATGATCCGACCCGATTATTTTGCTATTCGGGTTAGTTGATCGGTTAGACTCAGCTTTAAATACTGTTTTAAGAGAAGGCCGAATTATTTTTTTACAAAATTTTAATTTTGAAAATTACACGTGTCAAGCTTTTTAATGTATCATGTACTTTTTTTTAAAGCGAAAATGTTTATTTATGCTATCAGTTATAAGTTTGGCTCATTTATTCTATCAGTTATAAATTTGGCTTATTTATATTAGAAAATATTTATTCATGTCGTTATTTTTTAACAGTGATTTTGCAAAACCATTTATGATACATGGTCAATTATAATTCGATCACATCATCAATTTTTTAATTAAAAAATCAATTTTTTTAATTAAAAAATTGATGACTTACCGAATTATAATTGGTCATGTGTCACAAAGGGTTTTTGCAAAACTAGTATTAAAAGATAATGACATGAACGAGCTTTTTCTTAAAAGATAATGACACAAATGAGCCAAACTTTTAATGAATATCATAAATAAGTCTTTTCTGAAAGTTCGATCACATATTTGAGCCTTTTCTTTTTTTTAAAAAAAAATGGTCTCAGGTCATGTATTGAGAAAAACTTTTTAGCATCTCAATTA